TCCCAAATGTCCTGCAGCTACTCGTACAAAGCACGTTCCTGGTACCTGAGGCTATGCCTGGCAAGCTTTAGAGGATCGTCCCTGATGGTTCAATGGGTTCTAGGCGTCGGGAGTCAATGCCGGCCTTTGGGTGGCTCATGGTCAACAAGGTGCAAAGGGTGAGTAGCACAGGGTGGGAAGCAAGGCAATACAATTCGCTGGCTAGAAAGGACACCGAGGGTGTAAGGAATCCGAGGTAACTACATGTTGCAGATATTCTCGTACCTCGCAGTCCTCATATTACTCGTACTCGGCGAGTCGGGTACATGGTGGAGTGTGAGAGACCAAAAAGTGGTGACGTGGGAGGAGCGGAATTTGGCTCGTCATCGTAGCCTGTGAGAAAAGTGAGTGGGTGTGCAGTCATTCAGTCTCCGTGTCAGAATGCGGATGCCCTTTACCTGCTTCGGCCTCTTGCAAAACAAAACGACTTGTATCTTCTCTACAGATTTCCTAGGTACCTGCACTGGTGCTCTACATCCCTCCGGTCTTTCTGTAAACCTTCTGTCTTCTTTTGGCCTAAACCACACCTGAGGTCCATCTGAGTCGTCCTCGTACCTTTGTCCAAGCTTCCACGCTCGCCCCCTCTACAGGATGACATAGCCTGCGACTCCCAGCCACAATTTCAATCGACAAACACCCTTCGAGTCCTCAATCCTCTCCCTCAATCCTCCCAGAGCAAGCAAAACCGATGCGCCTCTTTTCTCCCTCCCTAGCAGCGCTTGCTGCTGCCTCCACCTCTATCCCGCTTGCACTCTGCTCTGCCCCTACGCCCCTTCACGAAGCCGGTCGATGCGCCATCCGTGGCCACTGTGGAAAACAGGGCTTCTTCGGCTCCGATCTACCCTGTCCGGACAATGGAAAGGCCGAGTCCCCCTCGGACGTGGTGCGTGAAAAGCTGGTCAATCTATGCGGGGCGAAATGGCAAGACACCGACGTCTGTTGCAACGAGGAGCAAGTGGATGCCCTGCAAAAGAACCTGAAACTGGCGGAACGAATCATCGCGTCGTGTCCTGCTTGCAAGGAGAATTTCTTCAATATATTCTGCACATTTACCTGCTCTCCTGATCAATCGTTGTTCGTCAACGTCACCGATATCGGCAAAGCTTCTAATGGCAAGGATGTGGTTACCGAGCTGGATAACATATGGTCAAAAGATTACCAGAGTGGCTTCTATGACAGCTGTAAGGAGGTCAAGAATGGTGCGAGTGGTGGGAAGGCCATGAGTTTTATCGGAGGTGGCGCAACCAACTATACCGAGTTTCTCAAGTTCCTGGGTGACAAGAAGCTGTTGGGAAGCCCGTTCCAGATCAACTTCCCCGAGGAGCCTCGGGCTGGAAACAGCCAGGGTATGGAGGCCTCTGACCCTCGTGTCTATGCTTGCAATGACACCGATACCAAGTATCGCTGCAGCTGCGTCGACTGCCCAGAGGTTTGCCCAACTCTAGAGCCGGTCAGTTCAGTTAATTACTGCCATGTCGGAAAGCTTCCGTGTCTCTCTTTCGCCGTCATCATCATCTACTCGATCGGCCTGCTGCTCCTTGTTGTGGCTATTTCCGGACATGTAGCGTATCAACGACACAAGAAGTGGAAGAGCGAGAGGCTTCAGTTGCTGCAGGATTCCGCCCCAAGCGACGACGAGGATGAGGGCGAGCTGGTCAACAATGCGGGCATTCTTGACCGGCCACAGAGAAACTATTACCTCAATCAGATCTTGGACCAGGCGTTTCATGCACTGGGCGGATTCTGCGCCCGGTACCCGGCTTTGACCATTGGGACAAACATTGTCGTCATTGGACTGCTCAGTCTTGGATGGCTCAGATTCGAAGTCGAGAGGGATCCAGTCCGTTTGTGGGTCAGCCCGAGCTCAGATGCGGCGCAAGAGAAGGCTTTCTTCGACGAGAACTTCGGCCCATTCTACAGGACAGAGCAAGCTTTTCTCGTCAACGATTCGTCCCCAGACAGCACCGTCTTGAGCTACGACACGCTCGACTGGTGGTTCGACGTTGAACAGCGTATTTCACGCATGATGTCCCCTGAGCAGGGGATCAAACTAGACGATGTGTGTTTCAAACCCACGGGCTCTGCCTGTGTGGTCCAATCTGTGAGTGGATGGTTCGGCGCCGGCTTGATGGATGACTGGAAAGCACAAATTGAGCATTGTGCTGCACATCCTGGTGACCAGATGTGCCTCCCAGAATTCATGGACCCTCTTCAGCCGGGACGAGTGCTCGGTGGCTACGCGAACATTGACGATGTCGCCGAAGCAAAGGCACTGATCACAACTTGGGTGGTCAACAATGATCAGCCCGGTACCGAGGCCGAGGCCAGGGCTGAGGAATGGGAGCGAGCTCTCAAGCATGACTTGCTCATTTACCAAGAATCTGCCAAAGCACGCGGCTTGCGCCTCTCCTTCAACACCGAGATCAGTCTCGAGGAGGAGCTCAACAAGTCGACCAACACCGATGCCAAAATTGTCGCCATCAGCTATGTTGTCATGTTCATTTACGCCTCCCTTTCTCTGGGCTCGACAACGCTGTCCCTGAGGTCGCTTCTTAGTAACCCCGCAAATGCGTTTGTTCAATCTAAATTCACTCTGGGTGTTGCCGGCATCCTGATCGTACTCATGTCAGTCTCTGGCTCGGTCGGCCTCTTTTCTGCGGCTGGGGTTAAAGTCACGCTTATCATTGCCGAAGTCATTCCATTCTTGGTTCTCGCTGTTGGAGTGGACAACATCTTCTTGATTGTCCACGAGTTCGAACGTGTCAATGTCAGCCACCCAGACGAAGAGATTGATGTGCGTGTTGCAAAAGCCCTAGGCAGAATGGGACCCAGCATTCTCCTGTCGGCTTCAACCGAGACGATTGCCTTCGCTATGGGGGCATTTGTGGGAATGCCCGCAGTCAAGAACTTCGCGGCATACGCCGCAGGTGCTGTATTCATCAACGCGCTGCTGCAGGTCACCATGTTTGTTTCTGTCTTAGCGCTTAATCAAAGAAGAGTCGAGAGTCTCCGGTCAGACTGTTTTCCTTGTGTCACAGTTCGGGGAGCCAATTCAACGGGCATGCCTGGTGGCCATTTCTTCGGCAGTGACGAGGAAGGCTGGCTGCAACGGTTCATCCGCAAAGTCTATGCACCAGGTCTGTTGGACAAAAAGGTCAAGACGTTGGTTGTTACCTTTTTTGTAACCCTCTTCGCCGCCGGGGTTGCACTCATACCGAGAGTGCAACTTGGACTCGATCAGCGCATCGCACTACCTGAGGATTCCTACATGATTCAGTATTTCAACGACCTGTATGACTATTTTGGATCTGGACCACCGGTATATTTTGTCACCCGACACCTCAACGTGACGGCGAGGGTGCACCAGCAGGAACTCTGCGGCAGGTTCACCACTTGCGACGAGTATTCGCTAGCGTATATTCTAGAGCAAGAGTCGAAGCGTCCGAATGTCAGCTATATCAACTCCGCCACCGCCAGCTGGATCGATGACTTTTTCTACTGGCTCAACCCAATTTCGGATTGTTGCAAGGATGAAAACGGCGAGACCTGCTTCGGCGAAGATGACTGGAATGTCACACTCTCTGGCATGCCTGAAGGGGACGAGTTTGTCTATTATGCTAAGAAGTGGGTTCACGCTCCGACCGATGAGGAATGTCCAAACGGAGGACAGGCCGCTTACTCGAACGCCGTGGTCATCGACAAGGATCATGTCGATATCCCGGCAAGTCATTTCCGCACATTCCACACACCTCTGCAAGGTCAAGCCGACTTTATCAATTCCTATGCCGCAGCCAGGCGGATAGCAGATGATATTTCCGCACGCCACAATATCGACGTGTTCCCTTACAGCAAACACTATATCTTCTTCGATCAGTACAGCAGCATTGTTCGCCTGACTGCGACACTTCTCTGTGTGGCTGTTGCGATCATTTTTGTCATTTCTTCATTGTTGCTGGGCTCGCTACTGACGGGAATCATTGTGGCGGGGACAGTCGTCATGATCGTGGTGGATATCATTGGTGTCATGGCGGTGGCTGGCGTCTCCCTCAACGCCGTGTCACTGGTGAACCTGGTTATTTCCGTGGGCATTGGTGTCGAATTTTGTGCACACATTGCCCGGGCGTTCATGTTCCCCAGCAAGTCGATCATGGAGCGAGCAAGGCACAAGTTCCGAGCCAGGGACATTCGGGCGTGGACGGCGTTGGTCAACGTGGGTGGGAGCGTCTTCAGCGGCATTACCATCACAAAGTTTGTGGGCGTGGTTGTGTTGGCATTCACCAGGAGCAAGATCTTTGAAGTGTATTACTTTCGCATTTGGCTGGCGCTTGTGATTCTCGCGAGCAGCCACGCGCTGGTGTTTTTGCCCGTGGCGTTGAGTTTCTTTGGCGGTGACGGTAAGTCTCTCCCGCAATGTGTTTGAACAAGAGGATTCAGCAGCTGACAGCTATCGACAGGCTACATTGATCCCGAGAGCGAAGGAGGGCTAGAAGAGGACCTCGCCAGTCGAAGATACCGGAGTCTGCTCCCGGATGACGATTACTACGATTCAGAGGATGAGTGACCAGGGGTCAAATAGATGATACCCTCTCTCCCTAACTCCCTCGGCCTCGTGTCTGATGGAAAAATTGATTTATTGGTCTGGCATATTGAACTTTGTCCCGTGTCCCGTGTCCCGCGTTCCTGTCTCCCGTGCCTCACGTTGGGTATAGAGTATTACTATGTGCAAGGTACACGTGTCCAGATAGGCAACGTAATATTTTGCATTGTACTCGGTATCTGGTCCTTGGTACTTGGCTATCGTAGGCGTTGATTGTAAAACTCGCGAGCGCGAAACCATTGGTCTGGACGAAGGATTTGTTCACGATGTGTGTTTTTATTTGTTATGCCTTGAATTTAATCCGATTGTCCTGGAACAGACCATACATGTGGCGGACGGATTCATCTCTTGTCACTCGTCATCACTACTCATTGTCATCGTCCACGTCCATGATTCGCCTGTTCCGCCCTCTCCCGCGGCCTCGACGAGCCGGCCTGGTCGGGACAAGGGCAGGTTCAGGGGATTGGCTGTTCTTGTGCGTTCCACCGCCGCTGCCATCATCCTCCCCCAGCTGCGTCTGCGGGACCACGCTCATGCTCGACAGGCGCTCGCCTTTGATCGGCTCGGCGGTCCTGCGCGCGGTCGTCGAGCGTGAAGGCACCGGACTGCTCGAGCCGAGACCGACGGGGCGTCGCTGGGTGCCTATAAGGTCCATGTCGTTATGATGGCGATGGCGGTTCTCGTTGTCGTCGTCGTCGCCGCTACTATCGCCATCTACGTCGCTCGTGGCGATGTTGTCCCGCCTCTCCTGGGCGAGGAGTCTCGCGACGCGGCGCTTCAGCGCCGGGTTCTCCACCAGGTCTTCCTCCACAAGCAGCACGTTGCACTCGGGACACTTGACCTGCTTGACCCGCATCTCGCGTTCGCGCCGGTTCCGCTGTCTGTCACTCAGCTGGCTCAGCTCCTGCAGTTGGGTCGGCGTCCAAAGCGCGTGGCTGCTCGAGGCACTCAGCATCGACAGGATGGCGTTTCGCTCGTAGCTGTGGTTGCAGTTCTTGGATGTGACCGGGTCTTCGTAGGGGAGCAGTGTGATGGGGCATTTGAGCCGGGTCTTTTCGGCGGCAATCTCGACTTCGTCGTCGGACCCGGACCTAGAGCCATTTTCTGTCACGCTAGTGGCTTCGGCTTGGGAGCCTTCTCGCAGGGGACGGTGGCGGCGACGTTGACTGGACGAGAAACTCATCCGTCCCTCTTCAGCGGCGAACCACAGGCTTTCGTCTGGCATAGGAGGTGCGGATTCTCCAGGGTTTTTGGCGTCGTAGAGAACTCGGTACCACCCCTTATAGTCGTTGTTGTGTGCATATCTCTCTGTCAGCGTCTTGGATGTCCACGTCCGCACTTGCTGGGTCAGTGCTGTGGATAGATGGACATGTGGTGAGTCGGCTGGGTGGATAGTCGGCAGCATCCTTGTCTGGTGGGACGATGATGCAGCCTCTGTGTCACCCTCCGCCTCATGCGCCTCCCCTTCGTCGTCCTGATCCACGTTTCCAGTCTCGTCAGCATCGACCACCCTCCTACTCTGCCTGGTTCTTCTCGGTGGACTTTGTACGTGGAAGTCACTGCGCTGCTGCTCCGTGATCTCCTGTGCTTTCTCGACCACTGCCTTTAGAGTTGCCGGATACTCAGTCAGCCAGGCCATGTCGTCGATGACACCACGGATGCTCAAGTCCATCCTCTTAGTCAGAGCCTCGACCTTGCGTTGGAACTCATCGTGTCTTGCATCTGCCTCGGCCTCTGCGGGGTCGTCGTTCCCTTCTGCACCATCTTCGACACCTTTGGCAGCTCTACGGCGAGCTTTCTCTTTGGAGTGCCTAACCCTGCGGAGGTATGCTCGGTCGTTGAGTTCTCCCGTGATGTCGGTCAGGTACTCTGCCGCCTTTTTCAGGGGTTCTCGTGCTTTCTTTTCGCGGTCTCGATGTTGTTGCAGCTCGGAGAGGGACCTGAGGGCTTGGTCGTTGAGGGGCGCCGTGAGAGGCTGCGGTTCAAATTGGGTGGGCGCCATAGTTTCAAAGCCTTGACATTGTAAGCAATATCAGGTAATGATTGCGATATACCGGGGATGTATACGAGTACAACTTGGATGACTTGCGCAGTTGTCCACTCACTTCTTGAAGCGGCGGGCGAAGGTGAACGCGTGGTGGCGCGTTGATGGTTTAATGGAAGAAGCTAAACCTATTTTGGCAATTCTTGACCTTTGGCTCGACGACGTCCACGACGGCCTCCTTGTCTTCTTTCTCTTCTCTTTTCTTCTCTATTTTGGTCCAATCTTCTCCTGATATCCGTCGGCCAATCTGCAATACATCTTCATTCGTAAAGCGGTCCTGCCATTCTTTGACCTCTTCCATCAACTGATTCGGAACTTCCCCCATCTCATCGTATTCGTATTCATTGGTCTTGGTGCCATGGCCGAATCTACATCATACTCTCCTTGGCCGCGAGGCTGACTCGAAGTACCAGGGCTGAATCATGGCGATCATTATATTGGCGGGAAACGTGCCGCTTGTGAAAAATCCGTCGCTCACGACTCACCTTACCCACGGGAACACGATCAGGGCTCAAACAACAGAGCCTGTCGCTGTCGTTCCTCGTGCTCTTGGGATGCAGAACTGCCCTACAAGGCGCAGGTAGCCGGCTTCAACAGTGCAATGATTATCGCTAACGGGGAAGGCTGTGAATGGGCGGGCGGCATCACTCTAGGCTGGAAGCAGCGTGAACAGCAAACAAATCCTGCTGCCTATAAGCAGCCATATGACACAAGACTGAGCAACCTGCCGCGGGTATTCGGATCACGCCTCTCCTTGAATTCAAGGATGGTACATTCTATCCCTCGTATTCGCATTCCCAGGTAAGGTGGTGGACCAATGGTAGGTCGAGAACATGTTCCAAAAAGAGGTATGCTGGAGTGTATACGAGGTATATAAATCTACCTCCATTCACCCTTCCAATCTCAATTCGATAGACATATGATCAAACTCTGCTCCGGATCCTGGACCAGGGGATATGATAATGCTTGTCGCCATGTTCGAATGCATCACACTATTTCTTCTCCTCGCACATGTCTGTTGGGCCTGTCCGCCCACGCACCGTCCTCGGTGCAGATACGGAGACCCTTGCTGGCCCGATGAACAGGAATGGCAAGCCTTCAACAACAGTATCTCGGGCCGCCTCGTCCGGACCTTCCCTTCAGCAGCTGTTTGCCACGAGGAACAATTCGACAACGAAAAGTGCAAGCAGACAAGACAGGAATGGGACAATAGTTTTTGGAGAACCAATCAGTCGGGGGCATATAGTGCCATTGTATGGGAGTTGGGCAGCCAACAGTGCTTCATCAATTCGTCAAGGACTGCACCCTGCCAGCCAGGGTTGGGTATCCGTGACCCTATTCCATGTCCATTGCTCCGAGAGCTGATTCTGACTTTGCTCACAGTTCCACACTATTCGGTGGCAGCACAATCTGTGGGAGACATTGAAGCCGCGGTCAAGTTCGCCAACAAAAGACACCTCTACCTTGTGGTAAAGAACACCGGCCATGATCAGTAAGTCTCACTCTTCAACAATAAGACGCTCAATGTCTAAACTCCTACATTAGCCTCGGGCGATCGAGTGGACGGGGCGCTTTTGCCATTTGGACTCACAATCTGAAAGGGAGACAGTGGACACAGAGCTATGTCGTCGAGGGTGCACCCGCAGAGAGTCAAGGTGTGCCAGCTGTCACACTACAAGCAGGAGAGCAGTGGCTAGGTATTTACCTGTCCGGCCGCTGGCTAGTGCTTTTGGCGGACTAACGAGCTCAGATGTGTATCGAGCTGCTGCCGAACAGCATGTGATCATCGTCGGTGGCCATGCCAGAACAGTTGGAGCCGCTGGCGGCTGGTTGACGGGAGGCGGTCACTCGGCCTGGTCGAATCTTTACGGTCTCGGCGTCGACAGTAAGTAATGCCAATATCAGGTGGACACGACTGTCACTAACAAAATGGTGTCAGATGTGCTGGAAATCAAATTGGTCAATGCGCAGGGAGAACACGTCACTATTAATCAGTATACTGATCCAGATTATTTCTGGGCCTTGCGCGGCGGCGGAGGAAGCGCATGGGGTGTTCGTCCACATTGCAGAATGGATATTGCGGCTCATGACTGACTCAAAGCAGGTCATAACCTCAGTGACATATCGTACTCACCCAGAACCCACGCATATTCAGGTGGCCGCTATACAGATCAACGCCACTACGAACTCAAGCCTTCGTCCACTCCTACAAGGGTCTTTAGGTGCCTTGGTGAATATGACAGATGCCGGCTATACTGGATACGGGTACCTCAGTAATGGTTTCTCTGGCCTCTTTATCCGACCTGGAGGTACCGATGCAGAACTGGCCCAAGGTTCAGCGGCCTTTCAGCAGCTAGGACTCATCAACGGCACCAGCTTCGCCGCGTTCAACTTCACTTTTCCCCGCTGGATTGATTACTGCAACACATTTCTTCAGGACCCAAACATCGCTCTGAATGTCATGGATTCATCTCGGCTCCTTACTCCGGACATGGCGTTCAACAAAGCCGATGAGATTATCGACATGATGTTGAAGTTTGGTCCGGACCACTATCCATCGTTCAACTTTGGTTTGTTCCTTCTGTTTCCTAGATGATGCCTGCTGACGCAGTTTCCAGTTGGGCATGTCAACTCCACCACGCGGGACAACACGTCAGTTCACCCTTCGTGGCGGGAGGGCCGGGCGGTTATGAGCTTCGGCACGAACTGGGACGATGAAGCGCCCGAAGCTGAGAAGCATCAGAAGAGACTTCAATTGGTTGAAATGAGCAAGCGATGGACCAAGATCGTTGGACCGGACGGAGGGACGTATGCGAACGAAGCCAACCCGTGAGTTTGATGTCCACTAGAAAAGTCTTCACTGGTTAATCTACAGACAGCTTCGAGCCTAACTGGGAAAGAGTCTTTTGGGGATCCAACTACGAGCGCTTGTTGAGGATCAAGAGGACCAAGGATCCTACAAACCTATTCACCTGCAACCGCTGTGTGGGGTCGGACATCGTGTATAAAGCGTGAAGGGGGAAACATCTATGAGTAGTCTCATCTTGTCCTTCAAGCCCTACAAGGACAAAATAATATCTTGCTTGTTTCTGAGAGCCGAGCTGTCGCACTGTCGCACTGTCGCATCTGTTGAACTGACTGTCACGTGACGCATTCAACCTCGTCCCTCTCGAGCCTCAGCCTCGCGCTAGTTGAATGGCTTAGCATTTCAATCCCGACTTCAATCCATCTCCTCGGGCATCCATGTCATTGATGTCATTGACATAGTCAGAGAGCTTCTAAATTGTTAATATCTCAGTGCCTGCCCGCGACCACTTCCTTCGGCGACAATATACGTCCGGCGCAGGTCGCGTCGGTGACCTCAGCATGTCTGTGCGGGCGGCCAGCAGATGATCAGCATATCTCAATAACGCACCCAAACCACGTCCTTCCAAGAGGGCCGCACACTTTGGTTGTTTGGTTGCCACACAGTCCAGCCGGCGACACGTGAAACACACTTCCCTGGATCACCCTCCCTGAACAAGGACAACAGCAGGACCGTTCACTCCCTAAAAGTCGGAACAATGATGTTCAGGAAGACAAGTCCAACATGCATATTCACACGGTCATCGGTCCCTATCCAGTGATGGACTTTGTGTGTCTCGTCATACGATAGGCTTGGCAGCGGCGTTTCTTGTCCACTCTCCTTGAATGGGTTCTCTCTAGTCGTGGAGGTACCTCTCACTACAACGTCAGTGACAGCCCGGTGACCGTTCCTTTGACCGTTCTTTTGTCTTCTCTTTTTCAGTTCATGGTATAGCAGCATCTGCTCTGCTTAGATCTGCTTCGCCCACCTCTCAGACCCTTTACGTCCCGCATGTCTTCTCCACGTTCATTCATCGATCTCTTTGCCCGTATCCCTCTCTCTTCGGACGCACTGAAACCCTTTTCGCGTGTCACTTGCTTGGGCCCTTTAATTCAGACCTGTCCTCTCATTGTGGAGCTATTGTCCCTTGAGCTACCCTTTGCGAATCCCGTTGCACCCGAGTCCAAACATCCGGTACCACTATCCAACTCCAAAGCTCACCATAAGCAACAGAGCCGTCAGCACTCACGTCGACCACGCTATCGACTCGACCCCCTCACCAATCACTTTCTACGTAGTTTTTGATCATCCAGGCACTCTTTCTTCACTTCTGGGAGTGTTCATGCATCTTGGATTTTGTCACAGCTTATCTCTATCCAACAGCTCACAGAATGGGTGCCAACAACTCAACAATCGATGCCAATCTCCCTATATTCTCTGAACAACTTGGAAAAATCACAATCAAACCCCTCAAACCGCACCCATCCTCGCTCCGCTCAAGCCGAGAGGCAAATGAAACGGCCGCTGCTTCCGTTGGCCACAGCCAAGACCGTGTTGCCTCCGATTCACCAGAGATCCTGTCACCCAAGGCCCCATCCCGGCCGAGGCGGCTCCCTCCAGTGGAGAGCCGGGAGACTGTAAAATCACAAGCGTTTCAGATCGATGGCTGGCGGATCGTTGATGGTTCGGACGAGATCTACGAGTCGATCGACACTGAAAGAACGAGTTACCCTCACCCCACATCTTTCAACTCACAAATCGATGCAGAATATTCTGATCTGGACATAAAGCCTTCGCTGGCGGAAATTGATGAAGCCTTGGCCGTATATCAGGAAGATTCACCACTCAGTCATCAAAAGACTGGTTCAAATCTCCCAATTGTCTTGGATTCTCCACCAGCCAGAGCTAAACGCTCTCTATCTGTGTCGCCCGCGCAAAAGAATAAACGGCGTCTCCTCCCCACAAAGCGCGCCGTCGAAATTGCCGATCAGAAATGCGACACGTTCGGCGAAAACGAAGCCAATCCGTCAGAACCCCAGGCATCGACATATCGCCAAGCAGAATTTGGATTCTTCAATCCATTCCCTCATGGCTTTCCGCTCGACGAGGAAGATTGGTTACGTCCAGACCCTCACCCTGGCTCGTGTCTCTACCAAGACTCGGAGGACGAGGATGAAGGGCACTGGTCGAAGATAATTAGTCCAGCGAACTCTGGCGAAGGGGGCACGTCGGAGGAACAACGAACGCGCCTTAATGAACTACTATCGAGACACCACCAACCAAAACCTAAACAGAAGGAAATAAAGGAGGAAACATCCAATATCGAGCTAGATGAAGAACAGAAGTTCCTGGATCTAGCCCGCGAATACATGCACAGATATCAAGAAGAAGGAGCAGAGCGGAGTCGACAGCTACGAGAGAAGGCCTTGCGGCGGCGTGGACTTCTTACAAACTCTGAAAGAGGCTCGGATTCGGAGTACAGTAGGACAATATCTGATACGGATGTCGACCACGACAACGATTCAACCATCGGCCTTTTTTCCGACGAACCCCGGGACCTTGCACAGCACAGTAAAAACTCAGAGTCGAGGGAGAGGGGCGACAAATCGAAGTAGGTCAGAGGCAAGCGATCCTTATCACGATGAAGAGACTAATCAATGACAGGACAGTCCAGAGGACAGACGTATTAGCCGGCGCAAGGAATCCTCCTAATCGGATGCAAAGCCAGCCATTAAGTGATGACCGGGACGCTAAGATCGGTCGCGACAAATCGGGGGCCATACCCTTGGGCGATGATCATTTACGTGAGGCTAAAAGAGCTATTCGTCCTGGGCTTGCGGCGAAGGGAAGCGTGAGCACCCCTCCCCCAAGCAGACAGTTCATCGCAGATGACGGGAACTGTAGAGCTCGTCGGCAGAATCCTCTTCCTGAGAGACCTGATGGTTCCACGATATATCCAGAGTGCAATAGAGAACAGCAATTGACTGCTACGCCAGAACACCACGCCCCTCGACACTTGAAGTGCAACACCGAGCAACAGCCACAAATCAGTGCTACAGAGATCAGTGCTATAGAGAACGAGACACCTCTATATTTGGAGCGCAACACAGTGCAGCAATCGCAGATTGGACCCAGTGCTGAGAATGAAACTTACAGGACATACCCGCGGCCTCTATCCAGTCATGAGACAGATACAGCGGAGAGAGGAGCTATCAACGAAGAAAAACGCAACCCCAAGCCGTTGACTCGGCCTCTTTCTGGACTTGAGGCGCTTGCAGCTAAAAGAGTCACCGTCAGTGACAGTGAGGGTACTTCCAGGCCCCTCGATCGAGTCCTCTCCCAACCCCAGAAACTTCCACGAAAACGCGATCTGGTGCCTCCTGATCCCAGGGCGACAGAATCCCAGCCATCTGGAGAACACACCGCGCCGCCGTCTACCCTTGGCCCCCGTCGAAATCAAGGCTTGACACTTCCCAAAAACTTTGACCAATTCTCCGAAGAAGAAAAAGATGTGATTGTCCAGCACGAGATTGCAAAGGAGAGAAAGCGAGACCTGGATGCCCTTGGAGGCGTGTTTTGGACGTTTGCGCAATTACGGTGCTTCTCGGATCGCGAAATCACCGAGAGAACCATGCAAACGGAAACAAACGAGCTTTACGACATTGGGAGGTTCATCTCGCTCGTGATCGAGCAGGGAAAGCCCGGCAAAATGCGACGGACGCGGGTCCAGGACATTCGCGACAACATCCGAAGGCGCGTTCAGAAGGCGGCAGAGAGCTTAGAGGAGCCCAGCGACGTTGCAGTCATGACGGAGATGCGACGGACATTTAGTCAGAAGCATATTGATTTTATCAACGACGAAACACCAAAGGTCCAGAAGGAGATCGACCATTGGGGAGGGCTGAGGAGTGAGCGCAAAAGCCGGCGGCACAGCATTAGGCCGAGAAAGCACAGGAAAAAGGAGCGGCCGAGCGTGCGAACAGAAGAGAAGTCTGGTAAGAAACAAGTCCGATTTGTGGAAGACGAGACACGAGCTGCCCGGGACAAGCGTCCGATGAGGAGGGCGAGAGCAGTTGATGGTCGACAAGCGCAGTCTGACAATCGAGAAGAAATCATCAACAAGCTGAAAGCCCAGCTGAGGTTTTTTGAAACGGCCGACCAAGACGAGGCCGCCGAACTTCAGAGTCAAGTTGCCGAGATCGAAGCAGAGCTTGAGCGCGCCACCCAATATCGCCATGACAACGACGAGGAAAGCGAAGAAGATGACGGCGCCGACTTTGTGTTTGGGGCTGGGCAAAATGCGCAATCGGCGTCACAGGGATCAGCCATGGATCAGAGTCAATATCGGGAGTCCTTCACAGAAAAGGAACAGGATATTGCAGAAGTCAAGCGTTTGGAAGATGGGCGTCAAAGAGACTCAGCGCCTCATGGCCCAAGTCCCGGTCAACAGCAACGCGACCCTGAACTCCTTGGGCAAATGCGGATGAAAAGGAGCCAGGCCATGCAGAGCCAGGGTTTTGACCTGGAGCTCTTACGGCAGATGCAACTGAGGAGAGAGCAGCAACTCGAGGCATTGACAGACCCGACAATTATCGATCGCGCCACCGCAGGTGAATCGGACAGCGAGACCGAACTGGGGTCTGAGGACGCCTCCGACGGAGATCGAGGCGAGAATGACCAAGTTTTCAGGTACACGGTCTGGGGTGTGTTCAGGGGGGTCGAGATCTACAAAGACGCCGATCACTATTACTTTCTGAAGACGTACGACGCGGCAAAGGCGCAGGACAAGGTCCGTGAGATCGTCACCGGTGTTCATCGGTACGCGGCGTCGGCGACTGGGATCGAAGTCAGTCGGGTGAGCATGAAAACGGAGCTGAAGTACGAGTTGATGGAGCAGCATATCGCGCTGGGTGACGATGAGACCGTCCAGGCCAAAGTCTGGATCGAGCGAGACCTGGTGGATTTGGGCCAGAAAGTCTTTCGCGCGGCCAAACGACAAAGAGCCGTGAAACAAGCCGCGACGTTTGCGGTGTATTGGGAGAAGACCATTACTCCCGTCGTCCGCCGCGATGGAGAAACCGAGACCGAGGCCGACCGTGGCCGCGGCTCCGACGAGCTTGACGACGTGTTCAGCGAGTTTGCAGAGGACAGAGCCCAGGCCGCCGCCGTGGCCGCGGCGCCCGTGACGATCTTCATCCCGCAAGATGAGATTGAACACTTCACAACGCCGATCCTGGCCAACCGCCACGCCAAGGCGGTGTACCTGGAGTGGCACAATACCTTTTTGCCTGGTTGGCAGGACGAGGGATATCGGCGGCTCGAGGAGGAGTCGATGGAGCAGTACCTGGAGACGCTGGGCGACTGGGGCCTCTTTGTGCGCGAAGAGAGCTTTGAGCGTGTGGAGAAGGGTGGCGGGCGCGGCGGGCGCGGCGGGCACGGCGGCCAGAGACGGGTCGAGGAGAAGATTCGAGTGTGGGTGAAGAAAATTGCGGTCAAGGGGCCGGGCAATTGACATGATATTGATATTGATATTGAGGTTCACAACGAGGTTGTGTGGTTGTGGCTACCGGGAGATTTGGGATCTTACACGCTCTCGACAAGTCGACAGACAAAATCACAGCAAAAAGGAAGTGAATCAATTGTTTCTCAGAGCTTGCCGACCGAGAGTAAAGGATGGATCGACATATTGCGATATTGACTTTTCTGGGTGCAAGATGGTGGCGGTTACCAGGAAGGGGAGAAGAAGACACGGACAGACTCTGCCTACCATACCATACAGTTTGATACAATACCATGCTATGCAAACCCTCCCTTTGAGATGAGATGGGCCCCCAAAGAAAGAAAGGAAGAAAGGTCATTTGCTGACTTGCGCCTGGTGTAGTAATCTGCGTGTAGATTCTAGAGTTCTAGAGTCTAGAGTCTACAACGTGGTAGCGGTACGAGTGACGACGGGACGAGTTTATAAAAGGAGAAAGGACACGACAGGTATAAGCCCGTGGAAAAGGAAGAAGAAGAAAACAGGGGCAATTACCATTCCAGAGATGGAAAGATCTAAAGAACCAACGAGTAGGTGTCTCGGTGGATGGGAATGTCGCTACTACCATCACTATCATCATCACTCTCATCGTCGTTCAAGTACATTCAGCGGACGAGATGAGGTTAGATGGAGTGAAACAACAGTACGGAACAAGAAGAAATGTGTTTTCGTGTCTATGCCTATCTATACTCATACTAACACATGATATTCTGAGTATTTCCTGGGAGGTGGGTGGTATTGGTACATGATGGTGAAATCGATAATAATAATAATACATAATACACGTATAGATATCGATATCTCCGTGCGCAAGCCGCTCCATCCATGCGCAGTCCCTGCTGGTCGATTCGTAACTTACTTGGATATTGCTGGCGAAATATTCCATCCTTTCTGCGCCAACGTGGATTGACCGGACCGGAGACGCTATTCCGGCGTCCAATATCCCAATGTCCGTCCATTCTTGACCTGTCCTGTCCTGACCAATCCAACATAATCCGATGCTATTCAAGCCCATCTGATCCAAGGTAGTCCATTGCAGTCCAGTCCAGTCCAGCTCCGCCCGGCCCCGCATAGTTCTGACACCGAGTCGCCCCTGTCTACCGCGAACAGTAGTCCTCCTCCCCCGTCTGCGCGGCGTCAAACTCCCACAACAGCTTGTCGGCGTCTTCGCGGGCCTGTGCGCGCCACGCGATCCACGGCATGACCGCATACGCCAGCAGCACCATGGCGTAGACGGGCGCCGAGGACACGACGTCCCGCCCGGCAATGTACATGTCGACGCCGTCGCCCCACGACCACCAGAACCCGGTCTGAGGGGCGCGAGAAGAGACGAGGTGTCCGACCAGGCTGCCGGCCAGTTCGGCGGCGAGGAGCCACACGAGGGCGAGGGCGCCGACGAGCAGCGCCGTTGGGGGCGGCGAAGTCAGGAGACTGAGGAGCTTGGTCGTCAGACTCTTGTTGTCACCACCACCACCGCCGCCGCCATTCTTGGCAGTCGTCGCGGGTCGAGTCTTGGGGTCCGCGGACGACGGAGACGACGACTCGAGATTCCACACCGTCACCTGCGCGGCCTGCCACACCACCATCAGCATGATGGGCATCTCGACCAGTTCGGCGTACCGCGCGCCCAGCAGCGGGTGCAGGTACGGCACGCGGATGGAGCCGAGGATGAGGCCCGAGAGGGCGACGAGGGAGAAGTAGACGAGCGAGAGAGGGAGGGTTTGTTGAAGGACGCCCATTGTTTTTTGTTTTTTTTTGGTTGGTGCCTTGCTCTTGTTTTTGCTTTGTTTCCTGATATTGGTGGTTTAGAGCGGAGTATGGAGGTTTCTGATTGATTTCGGATATTGAGAGGATGTTTCGGTGATTTTGATCGGGAGTAGTATTGGTGTTGGTGTTGATACTGATATTGATATTTGTGTCGGTGTCGGTATCGGTGTCGGTGTTGGTGTTTATGTTGATGTGAGTAATGTGTTCGTTCTTCGCGCAAAGAATATCTTCTTCTGCTTGCTTGCTTTGTTTGTCTTGGTTGTCTGTACTTGTACGTGTGTCTGGTAAGTTGATAAACCCACCCACCCGTCCAAAGTCGCAGCCACCCCCCCGTGAACTTATGTACCAGGGGACGTGGTGTGGTGTGCAACCCGTGATTTGTACGAACAGCCTTTTTTTCTTACCCATCAAGAGACACGACACACAAGGTAAAAGTCACGAGGGAGGGATTTTTTTTTCCCACAAACCAATTGGCAATTGTACAAGGAGGGACCAGGTACGGCATTATGTTATGGGATGGCATGTTTCTCACGCCACCACCATCCACTTTCTTGACAAGAATTTTCTGGGTGGTGTTTTCATCTCTCTTTCTTTCGTTGGAAGAGAAAGACAGTATATCGCATCTTTTCCTTACAAGTACTTGCATGGGAAGAAACGATTCGTGCTTCCCTTGGACAGGCATCAATGGTCTTTTGAGTTGATGGTGGAACATTGTGAGTAGAAAAATCCCCTCATTATTCCTTCCACAGCCTTGCCAAGCCCGTATTCTCCCCCCTTCGCTCGCTCCCCTCCGATTGGGCTTGGCTTGGCTTGGCTTGGCAGCCTTGCGTCAAATCCGCCCGATTCCATGCCGAGGCTTTGACTACAACCACTCGACATCACACCATAATCATCATCAGGCCAACAAAGGGCTCTCACACTCTTCTTGTTACTAAGAAATACAAGTAGGCAAAACGAAAGTGCCGCGCAGTGCAGCAACGATTGCGGGTGGTTGGATCCTTCAACTGATGTGGATGAGAGGGAGGTCCAATCATGGATACCTTCCAAGTAGGTATTACCCAGACCGGTACCTGACACATCCATTCGTATGGTTACATGTATCCTCGGTGTTGACTACCCGTACAAGTACTTTGTATATCTACGGCGATTTAGTCTCCCCATGGATGTGGATATGGTGCCAAAGCATGTGTACTTGCTACTTGTATTCCATCCAGTCTCTTTGCCAATGTTGTGCTCCCTGTGTTCGGCAAATCCTCATCCTGGTCCATCCTTGAACAAATAAAAGAACAAGGACTTGAACAGGTATCCTGTAAACAATGGCCTGGGACTCACGGGTGTCTATCTCCAAGGACTGGACTGGATTGGACTACTTGTAGACTTGATTATTGATTACATACAAGTACAAGTACCTAGGGTATCGTGGATGCGAGTAGGCAGGTCTTGATGTTGGCACCCCTTCCCCTGCCACTTGTATCCCGACACTGGAAATCAATCGACCAAAAACACTGCGTATCCCTGGCTGGCACTGAGCTCCACAGATCCCGCAAAAGGTCGAGTTCATACAAGTTCAAGGATGGAGGACAAGGATGTGGACGAAGACGAAGACGAGGATGAGTAATCGTAGCTCTCCCGCATCGTCCGACTCACCCCTTGTGTCGCCTCGTCTTCCTCCCCTTCGCATCAGACGCAAGGATACTCCTCCCCCCATCAGCCGTGACCCTGCCCCGAATCTGGACCCGAGCATACCCGTCCTCCAAAGGTCTGAAATCCACCCTCTCCACACCCTCATCAAGGTCAAAGCACGCTTTGGGGCAAAACACCAATGCCTCTCCCTGGCCCAGTTGGACAATGGTCTTGAAGACACTGTCGTCCTTGTCGTTGTTACCGCCGCGGCCCCTGTCGCTGGCGTTCTTCGACCGAGCCAGCCCCGCCAGGTGCTTCTGGAGAACCTTGTACCACTCCGGCGACTGGAATTGGTGCACCACAGCGACATTGCACAGGTCGAGCAGCTTGGGCGAGATGGTGGGTTCCTGCGTCGCAATGACCACGCGCGTGGCCAGGTGGCGTTGTTGGCGGATGATCTGCACTAGATCCTCAGAGAATGCTTTGGCCGCCGGAGTCTCGGTCAAGAACTGTTCACAGTTAGGTTTTTCTTTTTTTCCACTTCGTCGTACCAAAGAGCAAGACCGTCACAAAGATACAAAGGACTTACCTTGTGCGCTTCGTCCAGGGCGATGATCAGCGGACTCTTGTCGCGCTGCCCCAAAAAGATTTGCAGAAAGATGGAGAAGAGCGTGCACGCGTCCGACTCGGTGATAAAGGGACAACTCAGGTCGACAATCAACATGGTTTGCGGTCGGACTTTGATCTTGCCTGCGCGGTTTCGGACCGTCGGGGCCGCCGTCTCCTGCAAGAACCATTCGATCAAACTGTAGCGCATTTCGAGAAAGGCCAGTTGTGCCGGGGTCAACCCTTGGTTGGCCACTGCCTGCTTCATCGCGCGGTACTTGACCCCTGCTGTGGTGTCGGCGAGCGAAAGCTGCTTGAGCACCTTGTTCACGATGGCCATGTACAAAGGTGGGTTCTTCTCTTCGTTGTCGACGCCCATCAGCGCTTTCAGGTTGGCCACGTTGAGCTGTGTCTCACGGAACAGGAACGGGATGACCTCTGGCTTCGGCGTCCCCGGCGGCCAGTTTGGCAGGTTGTGGTAGAGGCTCGTCATGGCGGTCAGGTTCGAGGGGGACACGAGCACTTGGACCTGGATGCCCTGTGAGCTGAGGTAGGCCGCCTCGCAGATCTGGGTTGCGCTGGACGAGGTGAATTTGTCGTAGTGGAACACCAGGCCGGACATGGGCTTCGGGTTCGGCCCCATGCTGCTGTCGCCCATGAGCGCGTTCTCCAGTAAGCACGACATGGTATGACTCTTGCCAGCGCCCTGTTGGCCACAGATGAATGCCGACCACGGATGCTGCATGTTGGCGTAGATCAGATTGTCCTCCTTCGGCAGGTCCTGTTGCGTCGTCACGGAGTCGGACCCATCGATGGCACGCGTTCGTAGTCCCAAGAGCCCGTATGCTGGAAGCACTGGGTCTCGGTCCTCTGTCCGTGCGTTCAGCGCTTGCTTCACTCGGCTGGAGAACAGGGGCATCGCCCCCAGCTCGCGAAGAGGGGCGTGAGAAAGTTCGTCGCATTCATCCTCGGTGTCGGGTTCAGGGGCAAACAGGGCCAGGTGTCTGACTGTCTCCTCGTCGAGGCTGTCATTACTGCTGGGTTGACTGTGGTTCGAAGACCTAGGGCTGTCAGAGCTGATCTCGCAGTCCATTTTGGAGATGGTGGAATGTCAAATGTTGTAAAGGGAAGAGTTACAGCGGTCAGGAGAAGTAAATCATCCCAACAGTTGCTTTTCTTCACTTCGCTAGGCAGCGAAGATGGGCGAGCAAACAAGAACATAGAAAACACCCACATCAAACATTGCTTTCACATCAAACCTTTCTTTGTGTCGGGCGATGTTGCAGTGCTACCCTCAGCATAGATGCACTCTGCCTCCACCCAGATGCGTTCAATGTCACTGGAAAGAAACAGAGGGAAACAAAAGGGCTGGTAGGGTTACAAAATGATTCGTGCATGGCAACAAACCTTGCCAAAGAGAGAGCTGACAGCAAAGATTTATCTCGATCCGCAGGTTCGGCTTGTTGAAAGAAACGGCATGACAGAAATCTCTCCACCAATATGTACATATATGCACCTACCCGGCACTGAAACACGCGACGCCAACAATCAGCCGTTGGCGGGCAACCAGATCTCAGACTCAGCACGAACATCAGCACCACGGTATCGTCTCGCAGCCCTCATTCCCGCCCCCCCCCGGCCCCGTTATTGAGCGAGAGTTCTCGAAAGGATGGAGGGTTTCTGGCCGTACGCAGTCCAGGGGAACAGCAGGCCTGAATACACTCAGCCCGTCGCATTTCTTTGAGAACCCAGTTGATGGGACTCAATTCTTGGTTTCGTGCTTCACATTTGGCCTCCTTGGCCGCCCATGAGGTTTCTGCGCGCCCGGCTAACGTTTTTTCGTCAATGTCCCCGCGACATAGGGCAACGCACTCCATTCAAAGTTGGTCTTCAACTCGACGGCTTCCCAAGGAGCCGCTTTCCTCAACACGGCAGGCGTGTCGCGGTCCATATTGCAGCCAGCCAGGAAAAATTGCCAGCCGAGCAGGTGGTAGACGAGTTGCATCAGACGGCCCAAAACGCTGCCATTTTTGGTCCACGGATTACGGAAGTGCTCGACGATCATCAATTCTCCACCCGGTCGTAAGAGGGAATACAGTTCGTTGGCAGTCTGTTCTAAGTTGGGTACCGAGCAAAGGACTCTGACACATACGATGGTGTCGAAGATGCCATTGGGGGATGGCTTGACACCTTCCTTGGCCAGAGCGGCCAGCAACTCTGCCTTATCAGCAGTACTGCCGAGGATGTGGTATTTGCCAGTAAGTTTGGCTTCGTTGATCCGAAGCTGCAGGGGGGCGTGAAGACCGGTCGTTGGCTCAGCACCGTATATCGCGCTAATATTGGGGTTGTCGGAGAACAACGACACGTAAGAGCCTGATCCGGGCCCAATGTCCAGAACCACTCCATGAGCACGGGATAACAGGGGTGGAACTAGGAGGGCAGAGCCCTTGGGAGGGAGAGGCGGGTCGACGGGTGCTGAAGACTGCGTCAACACCATCGCCCTGTTTGACTCCTTTTCCTATTCTCTCGCAGAAAGTGACGGCTGTTTGCCCGACTTACCAGTAGCTTTAGTCCAGAACTTTGAGAAAGCATCGTCGCGCACTTTCTTGAGATTGGAAGACGAGGGCAGGTTGAACTGGAGAATATAGAACTGAAATGCAGTCGTGATGAAGGCTACCACGTTCAGGGTCAGAAATGGGAATTTTTTGGGCAGTGAGATGAATAGAGGAGAGGGAACCTACAC